GGGGCGCCTTGGTGAATAAAGCCTCACCAATTCCCTTCTGTGCCCCCGTGATGAACTTATAGGCAGCCACAAGGTCGCCTCTCAACCTTCTCTTGCGGAGGCTGAAGAGGTCCAGTTTCTCTAGTCTCTCCTCGTAGGGCTTGGTCTGTAGGCCCTTAACCATATGAGTGGCCCTTCTCTGGACCCTCTCCAGGTTATCCGCATCCCTCTTGAAGTGCGGCGCCCAGAATTGCACACAGTACTCCAACTGCAGTCTGACCAGCGCCCGATAGAGGGGAAGTATCACCTCCTTGGACCTATTCGTCATACATCTGCTGATGCACGATAAAGTGCCGTTGGCTTTTCTGATGGCTTCGTCACACTGCCGACTCATGTTCATCTTGGAGTCCACTAGGACTCCAAGATCCCTTTCCACTTCCGTGCCACCCAGCAGGTCATTCCCTAGGCTGTAGGTGTGCTGGACATTTTTCCTCCCTAGGTGCAGCACTTTGCATTTCTCCTTGTTGAACTGCATTCTTTTGTTTTCTGCCCACTTGTCCAACCTGTCCAGATCTGCTTGCAGCTGTTCCCTGCCCTCCGGCGTGTCCACCGTCAGATTGGTATGGTCGGTGGAGGGTTTTGCCTTACTTTGTAATAGGGGTGTGACCCTCTACCTGGGACCTCTTCACCATATACTGGCAACATTTTATAGAAGCAGGACATTGGCTGTTGTAGTTTCCTTGCTTTATCTATGGCAAGTTAGGGTGTTTTGGTATTTGTTGCATTAAGAGTTTAGATTATGATTGTATGGAATGGTTTGGCTAGGGATGATCCTGTCTCAGGCAGGGGGTAGTTGGACTAGATGACCTCTGGAGTTCCCTTCTAGCCCTACTTGTCTATGACTGACTCACCCAAAAATGGATGGCAGTCCTACATAACCGTATATGTTGTTGAATGGATAAGCAGTCAAATTTGTTACAAAAATGGACATCTGTAGCCAGGCTTGAAACATTTGTTGCTGCTGAGATCCTGGACGTAATTACTCCAAAATGAGAAAATACAAGATTTCTTTGGCATGAAGATAACAGCTATTACAATGGCAAGCAAGGTTGTTGCAACTAGGTTTTTGAGATGCTTAAACAAATGAAGGGACGTTTTGTATTTATTACAAGTAAACAGAGAAGCATTCATATCATTCTAATTGCTTATTCCACCTAGTTGGAACTTTTTAAGCGCTTTAGGTACATAGTCTTGTTAGATGTTTTTCCACTCTTCAGACTCATCTGGCACAGCCTTGTTAAAAAGCCTGGACAAACTTTCTTCCCATCTCAAAATGTGTAGAAACTTTTTTGGGGGGGGTCAGTATAATTTTGTGTATCTAGCATTCTGCAAGATTCCTGTGACCTTTCCTTATTCTCCCTCCCCAATACATACCCTTAGTAGTCTTTTAAAGATATTACTTGAAAGAATTATCAGAAAAAATTAACTGTTCCAATTGCAACAAATAGTGTATGTTGATTTGTTTATGTTTATCCAAGTATTCCTTGTAAATATCACTTTTTTGAGAGCGGTACTTAGATTTTTCTTGTCATTTCTCAAAATACTCTTGCTTTGTTTTCTTTCTCTCTTCCCTCACCCCCAACCCTCTTAGGGCCTGTCAACAGTAGGAATAGTGAGAACAGGTTCTCTGCAGCTTGGTGGCACATCTTCTGTTAACTCCTCCTTGAGAAGGACAAAGCGCAAAGCACCTTCCCCACCATCTAGAGTACCACAAGACCAAAGTGACCACAGTAATGAGACTGGTAATCTTTTTAAATTGTTTCTAATTTGGTAGAAATGAAAAGATGTTAGTAGGATACCTAGCCTAAATGTTTTTTTTAAGATCCTGTTAAGGATGTTTTGAAGAGAGAGAAATTGATAAGTGGTATCTTCCTCCAAAACCTAATTTTTATCCAATATTAATTTGTAAAGTATTTTTAATAATTGAGATTAGGAAATCATTTTGGAATTGGGAAAACACTATGGTATGATTTCAATCACATAAAGCAGTTGTTAAGGACAGGCTAGGAAATCAGTCATGGTTCAAGGTTTGTAGATTTGTATCATTGTACAATATCATTGTAACAATGATACAAAACCTTTTAGCTTTTGCTTTAAAAAGCTGAAAGATGGTGTTGAAATCATCTTGATGTTTTATTTTTAAATTTGTTCCAGCATCAGAATCAGCTGATTCAATTCCTGCAGAAGGAATAATGGAAGAAACAGCAATAGAAGTGCTCTCTAAAGCAGGTATCAGTCACATGTAGCTTTTTAAAAAAGTAATAAAAATAGTCTACAAGAAATGCTGCAAGTGCTTCAATCTCATTGTTGTGTTGACTTAGGTCCTGGTTTAATTTAAAGATTTTACTGAAATGATTGGTTAGCAAAAATACATTTAAGTATTGTTATACCATTCTAAAATACAGGTTTTGTCCTTTGCCCTACTATTTGTATTAGTTGGTGCATGTTATAGTAGAAAACAAACAAACCCCAAAATAATTTATTCTAGACTTTTTTCAACTATTTAAAAATATCTTTAAAAGGAAACTTTAAAAGGCTGAATCCTAATCTCCTTTTAGAAACTTTAGTTTATTTTCCCCATATCTTGGTATGCATAAAATTTGGTGCAGATCTGAAGACTTATGCCTACATTTCCATTGGCTTATACTTTTTACAAGCTTTACAAATACAGATTGTAGCCACAGAAAGGTCATTCTTCTCTAAATCTGGCCTCCATCTTGCACTTTAATTTACTGGCTTTTGATAAAAGGTAATATTGTAGTGCCATTATTTATCCTTTTTCTTTGTATTTTGTTATATTATTAAATGGTGTTTGTATGGTACTTATCACAGCAGGGTTATAATCTGTGGTTCAAAAGCATGACTGTAATAAACAATATTAAAAATATTTGATAGAAAAAGACTAATTTATATCCATCAAGATGAGAGAAATGCAGTCATTGTGTGATGGACTTTGAAAATACAGTGGGGCAGGATGGCAACTTATAGACTACCTTGTTCAGACAGGGGTGAGCTTTTGTAGGCTACAGCCAACTTTATTAGGTTATGTAGCCTATGAAAGTTAGTCTGTATACAACAAGGGTTGGCAAACTTGTACCATTGTAGGCTGCTTTTTTATAAACCAACCCTTACCATGAGCCACAAAACTCTGCACCCCTCAGTGATTAGGAGATGCTGCAGAGACAATAGATGGAAAAAGGATAGGACTAGAATTCGGAAGTAATTTGATAGATTAGATAACATGATGAAATTCAACAAAGAAAAACGTAAGGTGCTACAAATGCACACACAGAAAATGGGAGATAGTTGGCTAAGCAGTACTTCTGGTGAGAAGTATCTTGGGTAGGTTTGATGAATCATGGATTCAGTGTGACCCAGCAATGCAATGCAGTTGCCAAAAAAACAGATGCAGTTTTACACTACGTTAACAGTGTGCAAGAAATGGGAGGTCATGGTACACTCCACATAGCTGATTAGGTCTCTGCTGGAGTGTGCAATTCTGTGTTTTGCATTTTAAGAATGATGTGGAGAAATTAGAGAAGTTCCACAGGTAAGAGACAAATAGGGTTTGAAATACCAGGCATACAGGCTGAGATTTTTAGATGCATTTAGTTTGGGGGAAAGAAGATTAAAGGGGAGAGGTGGAATGTGATATCAGTTTCCAAATAGTTGAAAGGCTTTCATTAAGAAGGAAAACAACTGTTCTCCTTTGTCACAGAGCACAGGAGATGAAGTAATGGGTTTAAATTGCAAGAAAGCAGATTTAAATTAAACCTCAGAATAAACTTTTTTTTACTGTTAGGACAGTGGAACAAGTTACCCAGAGAAGTTGTGGAATCTCCTTCATTTGGAGGCTTTAAGACGCCAGATTTTCTGGGGTAATACAATTAACTTAATTGAGCTAGTTAACTTAGGCTCACTTCCATGGGTGGAGGGGGGAGTGTTAACATGTTTTATCCAGCATACTTCACAGGTACTTAAAGCAGGGCAATGAGTGTAAACATCCATAGGACAAAAAGCTTTCTTCCAGGAAAAACCCACAGGGTCTGTTCAGTTGCCTTCCTGTTCTGCTGTCTCTCTGGAGGCTCATGTTCACACGTACTTTAATTGCTTTTCATATTTTTAGCCACCTCTGTTTGCTGTCATTCTCCTGTTTTATTTTTTTCTAATTACAAATTATTGCATATTAACACGTTATTATTTCTAAATTGCTCTTAGGTAATGTAGCTGATAGGACCAGGCCCACAGTGTCATCATGTGCCTCTCAGTCCTTTGAGCCTGCCAGTCAAAACACTCTTCAGCAACTGACAGATGAAACTAACCTTCCTGGTAACACTTGCATTCCTGATGCATCTGAAATGCCTTTTAAATGTAGGTTTTATTATCTTCCCTTAGACTGGCTTGAGGATAATTTTGAAGTAAACTTAATGAGTTCTTGAAGTTCTTGCTGTTTATGCAACGACCCTAGGGAATCAGTTCTGTCCTACCATGAATCTCTCTCTTTCTAAATGTTTAACAGGGAGAAAAGCATAATAATGCATCCATCTATAGAGTCAATGACTTCTAAGAGAAGGAGAATTATATATTTCAAGTTTGTCAACAGTATGCTTCCATTTTAGGATTCTTGACCTAAGCTTGGTTTTCTAGAATTCATATAGTATGAGTGAATGAAGATATTAGATCTATGAACTTAATGGAATAATTGGCTCTTTGTTATTCACATGTTCTAAGAAACTGCCTAGGATAGATTTTTGTTTCCTTGTTTCTTTTTCTTTTCAAATAATTCAAGGTGGGATAGAGTGACTTTTATCAAACAATTGTCTTGCATCATTTAGCTAAAGCTCTTTATGCAGAGCATTCCACAGGCAAGCCATCCTGGATATTAATGCTTCAAAGCTCGTTTATTTGTGTTCTTTCTGCATTTTGCTGTGCACAGTATCTTAGTGCACAAATATCAGATGTATATCTGGCTGACCACATTCAGCCCACAGAGGTGGGTCATCTGGCCCATGGGGCTTTACACTGAGGTTGCCAGCAGCCAGAAAGTTAAGTGCCACTGCTCAACCATGTTGCTATGGCTGCTAAAACCACCAGGCATTTTCATACATGCTCCAAGGGTGGAGGTTGTGGGGGGGCACTTTAATTAAAAAGTGCTTTCAACGTCTCATGTATCATCCATTAAAACTCCCACCACCATTCTGAAGCATGGGGATGCTGATACACAAGGCACGAAGGCTGCTGGAGCATGCTAACGGCACACTCCAGCAGACTTGATTTAATTGAGTCTGCTTTGACATGCTATAATTACAGCATGTCTAGGGTTACCATGCAGCACCCAGATTTTCCCAGGCATGCCCTTTTTTTTTTTTTTTTGGCCCCTTGTACTGCATCTGGGTGGGTTTTTAAAATAAGAGCAAGCGTCCAGGTTTTTTGCTATTCCTCTGCTCTCCAGGCCTGGCTGCTTGGGGCTGGGAGCACTGGGCAAGGTGACTGGCTGTTGGGGATCACATGCTCCCTGTGCAGGCCTCAGCAAACCAGGTAAAGTGTGTGTATGAGCGAAGGGTGCATGTGCAACACGAGCTGCTTGGGCAGCGGGGCTGGGGAGCAGGGGTCTGTGGGTTGGAGGGGCGCCAGCAGAGGTGGGGCAAGGGACCGTGGGTCCAGAGTGAGGGGCACTGGCAGCACTGGGAGGGGCAGGGGGCTGTGGGTCAGGAGTGCTGGCAGGGCTGGGGGAGCAGGGGCTTAGGAGTGTGAGGGGCAGAGGCAGGGCATGGGCATATCATTGCCCCCCTCCTCTTCCCCCTCCCAGGAGTCCTTTTTTTGATGCTGGAAATATGGTAGTCCTAGATGTCAGAGCAGCCTTCCTGCAGGCATCCACAGTGTCAATATGGCTAGCACATAGGGGTTGAACACCACTACAGAATTTGTTTGTTTAAAATCTGTGGCATTCATCCCCTGCCTTCTTGCCATGCTCATACTGTGGCTCTTGGCAGCAATGACTCTTGGGGCTGAGCTATGGTGACATTAACTTCTTGGCTGCTGGTGATCTAGGCCCTGCCCATGAGGCGAAATTACTCTGACACATCTGTCTAATAGGGCTGTGCGAAGCTTTAGTAGCTGATTTGATTCGGAAGAGACTTGGCCTGCTTCAGGGACCAAATCTCTGGATACAAATCGAATTGGGAGACCCAAGTAAAACCTCTGAATCAAGTTAAAAAAGCTTTGGAAAAAGATTTGGCCGATTTGGAGATTTGGCCATAGACTAAGCGGGCAGCTGATAGCTGCCTCCAGCTGGTAAGTCTGTTGGGGTTGGGGGAGGGGGGAGCGAGGGATTGGGGCTGGGATGAGCTGCCTGGCTGGGGCATGGGGGGCTGCATTACTTGGGGAGGGGGGCAGGGGGAGCGCAGGATGG